TTAAAAAATTTAAATATTAAAAAAATTAGTAAAAATCTTTGCAGGCAAATTTGCCTGTGTTACAATTTAAGGGATAGTTTGTAGTTAGCTTTAAGTTAGTGTTAGAGTTTTTTTATATTAAATAATCTTATAATATTTATATATTTCCATCTATACTAAATAAGATTTATTTTTTTTATTTGAATTCTACAAACATGTAGAATCCAAAAAAAAAAAAAAAAATTAAATTTGTCTTGGTAGTTGCTAAAATATTTTTACTCAAAGGTTTTAAAAAATTAAACATCTATCAAATAAAATTTTCTCAAACTTTGAGCAAAGATATTTCAACAACTACTAAGTCAGATTTGATGAATTTTACAAATCTGTAGAATTCAAATAAAAAAAGTGACTAAATTTGACTTGGTATTTGTAAAGATATCTTTGCTTAAAAACTCAAACCGCCTATCAAAACAGAAGCTGCAGTATAAATTTGAGTAAAGCTATCTTATAAAATATTAAATCAAATTTAATAATTTTTATTTGAATTCTATATTTTCATAAAATTCAAATAAAAAAAAATTTATCAAATTTAGCTGTTTTAAAAACTTAAGTCTTTCAAATAGAAATTTTTTTCAAACTTTGACTTGGCAACTATCAATCAAATTGTGATGAAATTTTTTTTTATTTGAATTCTACAAATAGGAACCCCCACAGCAAAAGGGTGTAATGAAAAAAAAAATTTAATTTTATAATTTTATAAAAATTAAGTACTTATTACTCTAATTCTTCAAGAAATTGAGTTTAAAAAAAATTTTTTTTTTGCTTTATTGTATCCTTTTGCTGTAGGGGCCCCCAAATATAGAATTCAAATAAAAAAGAAAAGTATATTAAACTGAGTTGATAGTTGTCAAGATATATTCACACAAAGTTTGAGAAAAATTCCATTTAATTTTTTTAACTTTGAGCAAAGATTTTTTGATAACTAGTAGGCAAAATTTAATAAATTTTTTTTTTATTTGAATTCATGAATCAGTAGAATTCAAATAAAAAAAAGGTTGTTAAATTTTGCCTGGTGGTTGTTGAAATACTTTGCTTAAAGTTTAAAAAAATTTGGGATATAAAAATCAAATTGCCAATTTTAGATTTACAGATTTTTAGTGATGTGTGATACTAGTTTGAAAAGAGCAATAATATAAATCTCTAATTTTAGACTTCAGATTAGTGCAGCAGATTGCACTTGGGCATTTTACAGATAGAAAACCAGGTAATGTCAGGCTTACAAATTAGGTATATTATTTATTAATGTACTTAGAATCTTAATAAAGTATTAGATAAAATAAAATAAAATTTTTTATTTTAATAATTAAACCAATTTTATTTTTATAAATCCGATTAACAAAGGATTACATCGAATTAAAAAATTAAAAATTAAATTGTGGTTAGGGTCCCATAGCCTAGTGGTCTAGGCACCTAAGGGAGGTGTCATTTATCACCTGATTTTTTTTACTTAAGAGTCTACCCCCCTCCCCCCACCTGACAGTATATATAAAAAAATATATATATATATAAAGATGTTACTAAGTGACCGGGTATGCATCACCCAGGTTACTCGCAGGTGAATTGAGTATCAGGTTACAATTTTGTCAACTCAGATAAAGAGTAACAGGTCAACCTGTGAGTTAAACCTGTGAATCAACCCAGGTAAAGGCGACAGGCCAACCTGCAGTAGGCCATTTATCAAAATTTTTATCCATATGTTTCATAGCTAATTTAATATAAAAATCTAGTTCAAAACATTTAGGTCTTAATCTATCGATAATCTTTGATACAAAATAACCTTCAAATTGAATTCCATCAAATGCTCTTCATCTGTCCAAATTCTCTGTCGTGATAACTCCAAGACTAAATATCTCATGCTTGAGTATACAGTTTACCCATAAAATCTCAGGTGCTATATACGGATAAAACTCTACAAAATTTTCCTTATTTTACTTTTTTGCAAAATTTTTCCGCTGTGTAATTCTCTGAACGAGTTTCTAAAAATGATTTGACTCAAGATCCAGCTATATAATTTAAAATGCTCAATTTATCTCTCTAATTATGTTACTTCTACAAGATTTTGTTGTAACGAACCTTCCGACATAATGTCCATAACAATAATATAATCACGATAATTATTTCTTGACACACCCAAACAGTTCAAGAATGAAGGGCTTTCGTAATCAATTCTCGAAAGCTCTTCAATTCTTGGATAAACTCTTGCTCGCTTTTGTTTGAATCACGAATAACTTTAAGTGCAACATATCCCCATCAATCATTAATAATATCGAACCAATATACAGTTGCAAATCCTTTTTATCCCAGTTTCCGGACAACTGTGAATTCATTATAATCATCCAATATAATTTAAATCTCTCACATCTAATATTCAGGATTGATATGATCCGATGATTTGTTTGTTTTCAAAGTACTTCTATATTTTTGAACCAATAATCTGCCTTCTGAATATCTTTCCTTGTACTGGTACCATTTCGATAACATAGAGCAACATTAATTATTGCTCCGTTAGCACTCATATTAACAGACTTTTCATAGTATTCAAGTGCTTTATTATAATCTTGATCTAACATTGCTCAAATTAGCAAATTTCTTACAATGTTCATTTATCAATTTAATTATTCAATTTGAAAAATTTATAATTGCATTGAGGTCCATTCATGCACTCTCATCTTCCATATTATTCATAAGTTTTTTTTAAATTATATCTTCGCTATCTTCAGGTTCTATAGCACTTTCTTGCATTTCATGAATATTTATTCATATTCTGCTCTTAACGTTCCGTTTTTTTGCCTTTATTTATATGGGTTAAGCATTCGATATACGTTTCTTTATTGGTCTCAATTTCATTAATTTGTTTTATTATTTGGCAAGATGAATATCTTTTTGAATTCGATTATGCTAGGTTTCACTTTCGGTCTGTAAAATTAATTTCGAAAAACTTGGTAACACCATATAATAAAAAAGAAATATATATAATATATTACAATATATATACTGTATATACATATATATATATTGTGTAATTTAAACTTTAAAAAGAACAATTTCGGTTACTAATATAAACCAAACCCGGTAGTTTGAAATTTAGTAGATTCCCAGGGGTTTTAACTAGATTCAACAATCATGTCGCCAACCCCAAACTCATATATTACTGTACTGGATTAACCTTGAATCATAATTAGATAAGTATCAGATAATATTATATTATATATGAATTTAAAAACATTCATCCAGAAATTCCAAGAATTTATCCAAATCTAGCTAGACATCTCTCGATTAGTATGCATCAGTTCAAAAATGCCTCAATCAAGTAGTTTAAACCAGTTTAGAATGTAGTACTAGTTACAAATAATAAATTTACAAAGACATAGTATATAAAGAAAGTATGATTTTATTTGGCTTAAAACAGGATGAAATATTGAAACGCAAGACTTGTTATACTATACTGTACGTATTTTCATACTCACGCATTCATTTTAATCATCTTTTCTGATGATCTATTCTTATAATCTTATTCATCATACAGTGAAAAATTCTACAAGATAACTTGAAGAATGCATATATTGCGGATTTAGACTTTCGATAATAGCCAACATTGCATTAAAATCAGGCTCAACATACGATAAGCATACATAAGCGTATACATACTGTACATATATGCAGTACATTCATACATTAGGTGCGCTATACATTTTAGAAATCAGATATAGTGATAATCTAACAATCCACTATCACTACGAATTTAAAATTACATGTAGTCGAATATTTCTTGGTCATTCAGTATAGACTAATAACTAAACAAGTCTTCTAATGTTATTGCAAAAGAACTTGTTAGTTAATAAACTAAGCATATACTTTAATATAAATAAAATACCTAAAATTCAATTTATCTTCAAATAAATAAATAAATAATCAGCAACTCATCATACTGTCATATGCAGAAAAACTCAAAGAACAAAAAATTTCTATTAGTAAAATCGTATTCATGTAAAAGCAATATAATTTTACCAATATGAATTTTTGCTTCTTTAATTTTACATGTATATAATAAAATCAACACTTTATAATTGCGATAGTCCTTAAAACGGCACCAAAGTGTACTTCATATATATTTGTCCATTGATTCCAAATTCTGAGAGCTACATAATAATAATAATATTGTTAGAAAATATCGTATGATACAAAATCGTCTTATTATCATACTTATCTTACTCTGTGCATTGAGTTGATCAGAATTAGAATATATCGTAACATGATACTTAGGAAGTCTTGAAGATTCTTGTTTTCTGTTTTATATCTCTTATCGATACATCATGATAAATAATTTATGCATAATATGCAGTTAGTATTCGCATCATATTATGATGCGAATACTAACTGCACAGGTTTTCTCCTATTACTACAATAACTAGAGTTCCAATCCGGATAAATCCGTCATCCCTATCCATATCTGATTTATTCGGATATCTGTTTACTATTGATATTCGGATAATCTGAAAGATATTCGAATAATTATCTAATATCAATAGTAAATGAATAGTAAATAGATATCCTAATAGACTCAGATCCGGATATCTGATAATTATTCGGATAAATGCTAACCGGTAACAATAACAAATATTTATTTTAAATGTGATTAATACACATATTTATAAAAGCCCAAAATCATTTGCAAGTAGCATAAAATTCAAATTCAAATGCAAACCTTTTTATCGGCACCAAAATTCGACAAAAAACATGTATATTCAAATCCAGAAAACATGTATCAGCATTTTGTAAATGCCTATGCTTTCTATAAAATGGTATCAACCGGAATGCCAGATGTAAATAAAAATGAGTTATGCAAAGAGGCAGCCACAGAATGGCGTTTTATAAAATAAAAAAAAAGAAAAGGATATTCAAGCAAAAATAAGAGAGTATTTAAATACTCCAGTACAATTGCGTGGTTGTGTTACAGCCTCTACATCCCATAGGCAGCTTCCTCAATCTTCTTCTCAATCTCCTAGCAATCTACAATAGCCACAAGTTTTTACTATAACAGAATCCATAGAACCAATTCGTCATAATGCGGCAGCACAAAAAAAAAGTTTTAAAACAATCAAAAACTTAGAATCAGAATTGTCAGAATTAGAGCAAATGGCTGTAATAACGACTAATTCTCAGTGCTATAACAGCCTTAGCTCTCAGATAACTGAAATTAAAAAAAATATTACTGAAGAAGAAGAATGGCTTAAAAAACTCAAAAGACATATGTTTAGTCAACAAAAATCTCAACTAAAAAAATTAAGAGCACTTAATAATGATGGCGTTATTGTAAGATATGACTCTCCTGGTTGCCTGCCCCTTCTTTTTCAACATCCAAATCTTCACGATCAAATTCACAGTTGTATAGAATTTGGGGAGGCAGATGCAAGAAGAAGACATAAAATTATTAAAGTTAGAACCATAGAGCATCTCCGAAGTGCCTTAAAAGAAAACTATAATGTATATATATCCTGCACCAGCATAAGAAATTACATTTTATCTTGTTCAAACCGTAGCTTGGCAGCTAGAACCCACCACCATCCCGCTTTCGTTGGAATTGCTGGCGTTTCAAGAGATGATAGGAGGAGCCATATGGATAAGCATTACTGTCTTGCATCCGTAAAAAATGCAAGATAGTTTGCTATAACTTTTGCTGACTTCGCTGTGGTGCTCTCGCAAGATGATAAAGCGAAAGTTTCAGTCGGCATTCCAGCGGTGGGAAGACATTTTCGGGCCATGCAATCTATTAACGAACCAGTATTTGTTTCTGATCATGATTTCCCTATTGGTGTGTTACAAAATTAATACTGTCTGTGTATTTGATAATAAATCCCAAAGAATCAAATGAATCTTTACAACAAGGCCAATTGTCAATTTTCATTAAAGCTTAATGGAATCTTAGTTTGACATCTGCTTCACATATGACAGACATCGTATCTTTAGTTAATAATGAAAATTTTTCTGCAATTTTTAAATGTAACAATGAGGTCAAACCCCTATGGGTTATTATTGTAGATAGTGAACCCGATGAGAATCCTTGTCATTTAAAGAACGTTAATCAATACTGTAAATTATTTCAATTCTTAGATTTAGATTACCTTACAGTTAGGACGCACACGCCAGGTCATTCGGTGTACAACCCTGTCGAGAGGAGTATAGCTACACTTTTAGGTAGGGTTGTAAAAATTACAATAATTTTAGTAAGTTTTGGTAAATTTGTTTTCATGTAATTTTAATTTTGAAACATATAGTTTCTGGAATCATATATTATTTAAATACCGTATGCCACTGCTTACAGTATCCTCAAAATAATACCCATAATTAAGACCTAGAGGTATAATTACATTGATTTACTATTTTTAATAGATATATTAAACCATGCTCTTCACAAACAGTGGCAAAACTTTAAATTCTTGAATAAGGCCCCAGGTACTGTAAGCAGTGACATGCGGTAAATGATTTGATTTACTAAACTTACATAAAATCCACGTATTGCAGAGACAGGTGATGTTAATACGTATTATTACTTATCATTAAAATTATTACCACCAAAGTAATAGTAATAATAAATAAAAAAAAATGTATATTTGTAAATTGTAGTAAGTAATAATCAGTTGTAATAAGATATAATAAGTATTGATATGTAAAAATACATAAGGGTAAAAAAAATAAGTATTTATTACTCACTTATTACCTTGCCTATCTCTAATGTATTGTAAGTTTAAATATTCATAACATGCTACACTTTCAGAAAAACTTGCAGGAGTTACATTAGAAATTGATCATTTTGAAAACTATCTAAACTCTCAGGGTGAAATTTGTGATCATGATTTAGGACTTTGTAATTTTCAGCATGCTGGCCAGACTCTTGCCAATTTATAAAGAAGAGACCCTATTTATGGAAAACCTGTATATGTTGAGTACGTTGATAAAGAAAGCAATTCATGTGCTGAAGTTGAATTCACAACACCAGAAAATACAGATGCACCAAGTTTAAAAGAAAAGAATTTACCTGTTCCTTGGTTATGGATCGAGTCTCATTGTCAAATTTGTAGATACTCCCTTGACATTAGAAAATACAACGATTTGTCATGTTGTACCTCAAAATGAGCTAGTGATGCCAATGCATTCCTAGGTGAAAATAATGGTTTTTTACCACTAGTAATTAGAGGGAAAGATGGCCATTACCTTAATGCCATGCACACGCTTTAATACTTTAATCATCTAAAAATTCCTGCATATAATGCGCATCTTCTCTCTCTTTCCTCTAAAGATCACTCAAGACGATATTGTAAATTATGTGATAAATACTTCTCTACAATGGCCATACTTGCAAAGCACAAAAAAACTATCTATTCTAGTATGCGAACTCGATGTTCAGATCAGCGATCTCAAGCTAATTCGGCAACTTTCGATGATTTTTCTCTGTTACCTTCATTATCTAAAGCTTGGCTACAGGTTGTAATCGTGCAGTCTCAATCCCTTTCTGATATTGAATAGGTATTTTATATACAAAGATTAAATTTTCTATATAAATGTAAAAACTTATATAGGTATTATCATGTATAAAAAATAAGATAATAAAGTAGTGTTGGAAATTCAAAAGACAATACTGGAATTTGAATATATGATTTCCAACGGGAGTAGAGGATAATGTTCAGGTTAGAGAGGGTATAGGATAATGATCAGGTTATGAGGAGGTATAGCATAATGATTAGGTTACACATATACTAGAGAGGGTATAGGATAATGATCAGATTAGAATAGCTGATAGGGTAAAGGTCAGGTTATACACACCAAAGTATAAATGCGAAACTTCTTTACTTACATATATTTACCAACTAATTCTATTTCCAGATATAACTGTCTGTATGTATTCGAGATGACAAGTTACTACCTTTACTTTTAATCAATGTTCTAAACATTTTTGAATTTATTGAAGAGGCTACACGAAGAATTCACATTTCTTGATGAATAGCAAGATCCACATATTTTGGCTTATGAAGAGGTAATGGCAATACTATAAATTTTAAATTCATAAGTTATGTATCAAATTCATTTAGTATTGAACAATTCTTTGTTTACTAGAGTACATATTTATCATAAATGGTATTGGCATTGAAATATAATGATACTACTGTTACTGTATTGTTATAATTTGGAGTAATTAATGACTTTAACTGGTTTTGGATTCTCACATCTCTATCGCTATATGAATAAGGTCGATTAGATAGTGCTTGCTATGCAGTTAATAAACATGATTTTGGTTTGACATGAATGCCATTATCATAATGTTCGTAAGGTTCATAATCAAATATACTGTATTTTACAAGGACTCATATGTATGTACGTATATACTTGTATTTATTATCTATTATTTAACCCTGTCCACATATTTCGTATGTTAAAATTATTCCTAAAGCACCTGGTAAAAATTAGCCGAGTGATTTTTCGGCCAATTCGATTGTAATTTCGGCATAATGATAATAGATCCAATAAATTTAATATTATAAACACACATTTCTGGTTGAAGTATCTTCGCTAACAAATAAATGAAAAAATCTATAAGTCAGGCCTTTAAGGATATGAACATATTAAAAAAGTTCTGCACTTACTAAGCTTGAATGATATAAACATGTCAACAAATTCTTGATTGTACCTAACTTTTTTAATATTAGCTCCTATTCGTGTAATATGTTAATTAGAAAAGTTTATTTTATATCCGAAGCTCTTTTATGTTTCTTGTCAAGATTTATTGGTTGCAAGAACAGCCTTTTCTGTACAAGCTAAATTTATTAAACATGTTGAGCAAGTATTCAAATGAAAGTAAAAATGTTAGATGTGCTGATACTATAATAATATACCGATATTGCTAACTTAATTGAATTGGCCAATAAAATCATTTGGCAAATTTTTGCTCGGGTCTTACATCGGGAGAATTAAATAAGTGCAAATCTGCAAAAACCTGCGAAAATGCAGATTTTTGCAGAATTTTTTGCAAA